CATAGCTATTGTTACTCAACATAAGAAATAACATTTACATTTAATTAAACCTTTGAAGAATCCCAGAAGATGAACATTTCAGGAAACTGTGAAAGACTAAAGGCTGTGTCATAAAACTCTGACTGGATTAGGTAAAGAGCACTCTAGTATACATGTTCTCTATTCATAATATATTACTATGGTAATGGCACTGCTGCTTTAAATTTTTTATTCAATTTATTGACTCTGATCAAATGATCCAACACGGGGCTTGATGAATACCAACTTCTTAAGTGCATATTTAAACTTATGGATTCTGTTCGTTCATACAAGAAAGGAAAGTATGAATAAAGAAATAGAAGAAAAATCAAATAGTAATGAAAACAAATAAAAAGTATGGACATCCTTTCTGGAGATCCACGTATTGACAAGATGCAGTGGTATCTTGGCTGGTACAAACAGACATGAATGCATGGATTTCCAAGGAAAATTCTTGTGTCCTGTAATTGAGTGTCCAATACCTATGCAATGAATATTATCAACTATACTTGTTTCTAATTACGCATGTCAAATATTCAATTTCTGTTGTGAACAACACAAATGCCACTGTGCTGACAGTGTGAATAGCGTGAAGACCATTGCTACAAAGTCACTGAAGTACCCAAGCCAAAGAAAGTCTCCTGGGGTCTTTCTCATCAAAATTATTTTTAAAGTGAAGATCTTATGACCTTCAGGGTCCCTATATTTTATCCAGGAACTCTTGAATGTCCCAGCTTGTTAATGGCTCACAAGTTCCATATAAGAACATTGCACAAGGAAAAGGGATCGGATTAGTTTATCAGTTTCGTTACATTGAATCTTTTGACTCTTCTTACTTCACCATCCAAGCATCCAGTGTGAAGCTGATCACTGGAACTAGGCAGCCACTAATCATGTTTCAGGCTCAGCCAAGTTTCTTTATCAATATATCAATACTGAATCAGAGCTGAACGATACCTAATTGCAGTACACAGCATGACTGCAAGAGGCCTCAGGCAGTCGGGGCAAAAAAATTGCCTGTACTGAACTCACAGACCTTTGCAACTGGTTTCAGGAGTCCCAAGGTTAAGAGCATTATGGTTTTCATAGTATTCTTTATTTCGGTCTGGAGCACAGACTCTTTCAGCCCCTGACATTTCAGATCAGGCTATGTAATAACCATCCTCCAGATAGTTACATTTACTCCTAAATGGTCCTGAATTTCAATAAACCCGTAGGTGTGAGAGCGCATAAAGCTCTTGTCCTTGGCGAAACCCTTAACTGTGTGTTTGAGATTTCAACTCGTTTAAGATAGGAGGCAGAAGCAGGGGCTCCTAAGCAGCACGATTTCAGCTTTCAGGGAATATTGGGCCAATACTCTATTGTATCTTTGGCGATTAGAATAGAAGTGACTAAGGGTAGGTCTATTCAGTTATGGTATTCCTGGTATAACTGGAAGATAATGAGTGTGAGACATTAAATTTACCCATTGCATCTTTGCATTGATTCAGCATCTAAAAAGTCTTTTCATCTTTTAAAATACGGAGCCAATTGTAATATTCCAGTACTAAAATGACAGATGTAATTCTTCTAGTTATATTAACTTTATTTAGCTATTCTTAATTTTATATAACTTTATCTTAAAATAAAAATGTATATTTTTCAAATACAATATTCCTTGACATGGCCAGTTCATTTTTTTTTCCATTTCAAATCATCATATTCATACCATTTGCTTACTGACCTCTCACATCAGCTTTTACACCAGCTTTCAAGAAGGTAACTGATTTCATGGTTCAGAGCAATGATGATCCTTCAGAACAAAGGTTTGAAGCCAGAGATAGTTGGAAAAATGCAGATAGCGTATAAATATAAATATATATCCCTCCCACAAAAATACCATCTCTTCGGGTCAGAACAGAATAGTCATTCTTTAACACTTTGTATAGAATTTAAGAAAACATCCCTGAACCTATTTGTTTTTTCGAGTTCATACCCAGCCATTTCCCTGCAGGCTGATTTCACACTGTTATTCCAGTGAGTGACAGTGTCTTCGATGAAATGATCTGTTTCCTTGTGCTTTAGGCTTCCCTTGGCCCTGGAGTGTTACTGTAATATGAAATATAATGACACATTTTTCTTTTATAGTGCTCTCCATATTGGATGTATTGACAAGTAGGTGTAAAGCGTCTTCTGTTTGCTAGCTCCTTTGTCAGCTGCTGTGGACATACCCTTGACTGAAAGCTCCCCTTGCCCAATCAGATTGCTGTGCCAGTATTTTCCTTGACATATACATATATATATATATAAAATAAAACTATTGTGCTGACATCCTGGGTACGTTGACTTGTTACTGGCCAAGAGAGGGGTGGAACAGCAAGGCACAGAAAATCCACTATACATTCTAACATTTAGGCTTTATCCTTTATTAGGTAGTGAGTAAGAGACATAAAAAGAATTGAGTTTGTTGTTTACAGCTGAAATTTAAAAGAGACTTGTGTGAACAAAAACTTGTTCCATAGAGCACTGTGACAAAAGAGGTCCAAGAAAACTGAAGGTGTCATCACAAATTAGCTGATGTAAGTAGTTGGAATGACACTCTTTTTACTTCTAGCAAAATTTGTATTAACTCTGCCCTTAGTACTGTGCCTCCATACATGCCACAGGCCACATTTTGGCAAGGATCAGCCTGTTGATTTCGATGGCATCACAACCACATGGCAGGATGTACAGCAGGTGTCCTTGCACCAGAAGGCCGTGCATAAGAGCCTACAGAATATTTGTGGGTCTCCCCTTTTCCCATCTGCGTGTTTTCTCATGGGGAAAAGATCGCCTGCCCAGACCTTCTCCCTTCCCAAAACACTAGTCCTCCTCAGCTCGTTTAGCAAGCTCTTACTTACACAGGCTATTACAAAAGACTGTGGAGATAAGCGGTTGTTCATGGAGCACAGCTTGAAAACTGGTGTCCTATTCAAGGAGGAATCTGAACACAGCTGGCAATGGCACTACAACTTCTGCAAAGAGATGGAAGGTCGAAAGCAGGCTTAAAAGACCAAGGCCAAGGTTTTGCAAAGAGGAGTTGAACCTTACAACACTATATTTATGTACCCAAATAAAAGGAAACAATTTCTAAATTGAGTGCTAGGTGCAGGTTTTGAAGGCTGGCCTGTTTACTGCCTCTTTACTGGGAGCTGTGAAGTAGGGAGCCCTTTTAAATGTCAGCCCCTAGTTATTTAGGTGCCTAACCTTGGCTTCAGGAACTTACTCATACTCTTCTTGTTTTGGAGATTGGGCCAAAGCAATCCAGCTAGTAACCAGCCCTGAAATAGTCATTGCATCTTTTTCATGGCTACATAGGAGTGAATTAAATATAAACAAAAGCCCATTTCACTTCAAGGCACAAACGTTTGCAAATAAACTGGATGAAATACAAATACATAATATAGAACTTATTTTAATACTTCTAGATAAATAAATGCATCTCTTTGGAATTCTTTGGACACAGACATCCATGGAACCTCTTCTTTCTCTCTTTTTATATTTTTTTTTTATAAAATCTAAATGCAGAGAGGTTTAAAAAATGGCAAATACCAATGTATATGGAAGGCTCACTGATGAACTGCAAGTCAAAAGTGCTGTATATTCCCATCCTCTGTATCTCCCAACTGTCCATACTAACCACAGGCAGTATTATATAGCAACCTCATGGTCAATATTTTGCATTACTACCTTTTAATAAAATCTTTCAAATCATTTCCCCATCTAAACTTAAATTATGTTTTTAAATTTTATTCCTCCTAAATGTATGGTAGGCATTTCACTTAGCTACACATCAGAGTGGTCGCATGTGACTCAGCAGCGCACTCCATAATATTAATAGATACTTTTCAGCTCCCTATGGGAAAAAGCAGGCAGCAAGAATCAGATTCAAGAAGTCTATTTTTTTCTCTGCTGTTTGTTACTTACCACTTAATGACCCACATGTGAAACTCAATGGTTATATAATTATTTTATATAGTAGATTTTCTGTTTATAAGTTATTTTTCTTACTCTAACATATATACAATATATCTATATATACCCCTGATAAATCTTACTTTAAAGGGACACGGTCAACCCCTTTAAGCCTCACAGTAAATATATAAGGCTTTAAGCTGTCCATACATAAAGGTCAGCTACAGAATTCAAGGGTCCCTTCAGATCCTAAAGGTTGTATTTGTTCCAAACCCACAATGTGCAGTTATCTCGTAATATGTATCTCATGTGTTGCTGTTTACATTTTATAGGTATATCAAGGCATTTTATATCACATCAGGAGGAAGTAAAACAAGAGAATAAATCTGTTTCTAAGACTAAGCCTATTGCAAAAAATGTTACCTGTACCTACAGACTCTCCCACTGGTGTGATATAAAAAGAATATGTGCCATTCTTGGAATGAAATTCTGGCTACATTGCAGTCTGGAGGAACTTTATGCCGACTTAAATGAGGCCAGGATTTCTCTCCTGCTTTTCATTTGCTAGTCATGACTATGCATAACCCATTTGTGTCTTCTCTCTGCTCAACACTGAAGTGTCAGGCCTGTTTCATGACAAGAGCGTATTTTTGGCTGTCCACTGGCATGCCTTAAACATTGATCTATCCTGTATGTGTTACACCTTTTGAATATACACAGACTGTACACATACGTTCTCAGTTAAATAAAAGTTTGACCTACTCTGTGTACAGCATCTGGATTTTTTTTTCCCCCCACTAAATCTTCTTTATCATTTACTCTGCCCTAACCATAGATTATCTTCACGCCCATTCCTCTACGGGTGAGGAAAACAATTTTGCTCACCAGGAACAGCTCCACATTATTGTCATCATTTTTGACTACTTACCAAAGTGACATAATTTGTTCATTTTTATCTTTTGCAACTCAGTTAGAAACCTAGTGGCATAGATAGAGACACAATACTACTGTTTTACAAGACATCTATTGTATCTACTTTTGTTCAGATAAATACCCAGTAACTGCTGATTTGGCAGGAGGATTGGTAAGGGTACTACTATTCACAGTGTTTCTTTTTTTTTTTTTTCCTTCTTCTTTAATCTACAGAATAAAGTATTTTATGTACATTGGAACCAGTTAATGCCCTTTAGACAAATTTGTAAGTTGTTTCATAAAGCAGGAAAGACATTGCAGGGAAATATGTGCCAAAAAGCACAGTCAAAAGGCTTCATAAGTTTTATATGTCACTACAAGTCAATGCTGGAGATCAGTTCTAAAACGATCAATACTCAAGAGGAATGTTCTCATCTGGAGAAAATACTGCCCATTCCCCCTTTTAGAATTTGTTCAGTTCTCTATCAAAAGTCCTGGCTCTTCATATATACTTTAAACTATAAATAAACACTGCATAGTTCAATGTTCTTGATTTTCTTTTTTTTGTTTGTTTGTTTGTTTGTTTTGATTTGAAAAATTATTGCAGTACAATTAATTCCTGTTTGGAGTTCAGTAAGGAGCAAACAGCACGGGAGTATGGGTGGTCCGTATAGGCCCTGGAGCTGGTCGTAGGAGTGCTGGAGGAAGTGCTGAAGTCTGGAAAAGGGTGGCTGCCGGGGCTGTGCGAAGACTGAAGGGGGAATTCACAGCCACAGCAGCAGCAGCTGCTGCAGCTGCAAGCGGATTTGGTAGGATTCGTGGAGCCATCGGCTTTGAAGGTTCCTTTGAAAATACTAATTTTACCTGTGGGGAAGAGAGAAAACAAACAAACAGAGAGACATAATTTGTTCATATTAGCTACACGACAGGGAGCTTGAGTTAAGATTATAAGTGCAAAATCAAGTAAGAGAGGCCTTGTAGTGGCTACTGACTCTGAGCCACAGGGTCATGACAGACAACACGATCCTGTGGGAAGATGAGCAGGATTTGGTCAGGAACGCAGGGTATCAATGTCCTCTTGGTGTTGGGCTCACACTTAATCACTGAGATTTATAATTTAGTATGAGATTAGAAATCAAAGCAAACCTAAAAATGGGCTGAGCAATCTGCACTAAAGTAAAGATGCATGTACCCTGCAAGAATTAAATAAGGAAGAATTAACTATCAATTAAAAGACCTCTATCTGGATACCTTTATGAAGCCTAAGGAAAACATATCCTACTCCCTGGTCTGACTAAGAAGGTACTTTTGTTTTTATCATTAGGAGGCAAGTTCTACTTAAAATTAAGATCTCTGGCTAGCTCCCCTTTATTAGCTCCTGCCTCTAATAACAAACAATTTGGAAAACTCCTCATTCAGAGTTTCCAAAAAGACAAAAAAATAAGCTCAAGCTTTTCCCAGACTGATTGAAAATACACACAGAGGTCCATTATTATTTAAGAAAATTTACATTTGGTATGCATACAAATGAACATCATAGTTGTCTATATAGATTTCTGCAGATTTCAGTGTGATTTCAAGTTTCTAAGGAGAAGCCAGGAGCCTGAATAAATTTATTGTTCTGGTTTTATAACTCTAAGATAAAAATAGAAGCCTCATCCACTGACAAAGAAAGGTTCCCCTTGGCTCTGATGGACTTTCAGTGGGTCTGTGTTCTGGCATGCCCTGAGGCACTTTGGAAAGAACATAAACCTGAATATGTTGTATTGAATATACGGAATATGAATAATGTATCATGCTGTGGTGCATCTTGGTGTAAGCATGGACACTTCTCACTCACAGGGAAACACAATTTTTCATCCTTGACTTGAGAGGGGCTTTCAAATAATTAACTTGCACTATATCAGTCTGATACTTTCCACTCAACGGTACCTTGGTGAGTGAATAGTCAGAAAGTAAGGACAGGAGTAGCCTTGCATGAACCACCAGCGAGTTTCACAATATTCCAAAAAATCCTTGGTTCTTTACCAGCCAGATGGATACTGGATTTTGACATTTCCTAATACCCATTGGCAACTCTGCTGGCCTCAAGGTCCTTTAAAGCTCTGGCAGAGATACTCAGAGGGAACCAGATTCTGTAATTCTCTTAATGGAGGACATAATGGGTGCTAGATACAAAATTCCTCATGGTGCCTATGAAAAGCAATGATCTGATCTTTCCCTTGATCAGTGTTACACCCACTGATCCAAACTGCCTTCTTCCCTTGCTAAGCATGTGACTTTTTCCTCATTGCTTACATTTTTTAGTAAATACCTTTTTTCAGCCTTGTTTTGAACAGACAAGAAAAGAAAAAGTCTCAAAAAAAAAAAAAAGAATATCTGGGTGCAAAGTATAAAAAACCCACAGCCCAAAACAACAGGGCTGTGATTGTGATCTAGAATTCCCAGTGAAGGACGTTTTTATAAGAGCTATTTATTGCAGAAAGTTTGGACTATCAAACACCTGATAAACTCTTTCTGGTGTAGTATTTTATACATGCTGGACATTTGTGGCTTGAAGAAATATCAAGTAAGTCCTAACATTACAAGTTTTCTTAAACTCTGAAATAGTACTGTGGGAATTCATAAAGCTTCTTTCTCTGAAGCATGCAAAACTAGACTAGACAAAGCAGTACAAATGATACTGAAAACATGGCATTGGAAACTGTTTGGTCTAGAAAAGATATGAAAATGTAGTGTGTCCTTTTTCTAACTTCTGTAAAAAAAAAAAAAAGGTAATGTTCATACATTTTTTTGTCATTAAGAACAAAGATCTTATGTGAGTTTATATTAACTGTGATTCTGTGATCCTGCTATTCGTGGAGGAATCAGGAAGTTCTAATGAAGTTAGACAGCTTTGCAGTTAATTTATCAACAGATTTCAAGATAGCTGCAAAACCAGTAATATTTAGCATATACAGTATGTTGCAGCTTCATTTCAAACCTTGTTGCTATGCCATTCTGTATTTCAAGTGACAGCAATTTTGGTATTTTTTTCTAATCAAAACCAAGATGACTAAATGGAGAACTACTCTTAACCTTTATCATTGTAGACTCCATTCTACTCTTTCTTAAATCCCCTTTGCCTCTTTGTTCACCTCTGGCCTGACTTGTATATCATGAGCAATTGGGAGTGAGGGAGCAGGAAAAGGACACTTTGCCTTTATTTGTCTATGCAGCAACTAAATGGCCTTGATCCTTGGCTCGAGTTCTCAGAAATCACCATTAAATAAATTGGCAAATAGAGAACTGTGCACAACAGCAACAGTAATGTATTTCCTAAATACAGTAATGAATTTCCTAAAGGAATAATAATCCTGTCAGAGAGGGTGTAGTCATTCCATATCCTACATACGTAATTACATATTTTCTATTCCTTTCAGTATAGCTTATATGTATTGGAGACCTTGGTCTTCCTGGTGGATTACTGAAAAATCCTATGGGGCTATTTCCCCACGAGTGATATACCACAATGGTGCACTGCATTATGCTACAGTGTCTAGGAAAGCTCCTACCCAACTGAATCATGCATGAAAATACCACTCATGAGGGCTGCTCCAACAAGAACACATTTTCTGTTGTCAAGAAAAGAGCTTTAACTCAACTTAAAAAGAACTGGGTTTTCACAGAAAAAAAGCTCCATATTCTGCCTGCATTAGAGAAGATGGTCAAGGAATAAGGGGCTAACCTCTGTGAGGCCAGTGGATCAACGTCCTCTCCCTGCCAAAACTATATATAAACCCTTACAAAATGCCATGGCACATAAAACAATCGTGCAGTTTATCTGATGGAGATAAACGTCAGATGTTTCACTATCCCACCCACAATATAAGCTGTTTCTTAACTAATGGCAGGATCCTAGCAGGGTTTTTTATTAAAAAGTAAATCTTTTTCTCAGCTTTTGAAGATATTAAGAACTGTGTTTCAGATAGTTTATCCTGGCAGTTGTAAATGCGACCAGAACCATCCTGAAACTGAGCTGAATGAAATGAGAGATGGATTTTTAAAATTGTTTCAATTGTTATCTGACTAATTTTCTAAATAAGGATAGAATAAAGGTTTTATGGTTTATAGAGTTTTATTTAGTCATTTCATCACTATTGTCCTTGGTGAAAACTGGAAAAATCCTGTCTGACATCTGGATGTTACTTTCGTCTGTTGCTCTCTAATGGCCTTGGAAACAAGCTGCTTTTCTGAGGTTATTCAGAGTAGCTACAAAAAACAAGGACCCACGGGTTGTAGTCCGCACCCACCCAAGTATATACAAAGTCAGTTGTGGGCTTCTATGGGCTTATTCAGACACTTGTATACTCTCATTGCTTACACTATTCCTCTCATTTTAAACATTTTTCCAATTACATTTTCCAAAAACCCTACTCTGCAGGGTTGAAAGTAAAATTAAAAGGTGATTGGCTTACCCCTAGAGGATGTGTTCCCTTTTGGAGTTTGTTGTAAGGGCTGTATTTAGGTTTAGGTGGCTTCCCAGCAGCTCTGTCTTTGTGCCTTCTACTGCTTATGTGCTGTTAAAATACATTTGGGGAACAAAAGAAAAAAAAAAAGAAAAGAAAAGTGATATTTCTTTAACAGATCGTTTCAGGTTCTGCTTTACACAAAGGTGCTCCAATACTGAAGGCTACTGCTCTCCACAACAGCATTACTTTGACTAATTCAATACCGAATGGGAATAGGGTCTGTTCCAATTTGAACGATCCTTTGTGCATCACATATTGGGACTGTGATTTTCCACAGTGCTCAGTTCAGCTCTGCTTCCACTGTAGTCAATGGGTTTCTCACCTTTGTTAACTTCAACAGGACCTGAATCAGGTCAAAGATAGAAGCCTTTGAAAAATTCCTCCCTATCTCTATAAAGCATCCATCAAACTAAATCCACTGCTGATAGAAAGTTTTGGAAGAATATTAGATAGTAGAGCATCCCCTGTTCAGGGGGAAAAAAAAAAAAAAAAGGTCACAAAATTGTTTAAATCCCTAAGCCTAGACATCCTTTTAAGATTTCAGCTGAAAGATGGTTACATATCAAACTAAGTGACAGTGAAAAAAACCCCACAAAATCCATTATCTTCTTCATAAAATCTATGAGATTTTACAAGAATCCTTCTACACAGACTTTATTGCAGTATTGGATGTAAGGGACCTTTTTCAGAACTATATTTTTACTTGATTTTCATTGTCAAGAGAGTTTTGCAAAACAAGACAAAAGAACTGGATTTTTTTTTTTCCTGAAAGCAGAAGACAAGTATTGCTATTGTCCATTACAGAATTTATCTTCATTCTTGTAAAGTTCCTTAACAAGTATTTAATTCCAAAAGGCACATGGAATTAAACTAAGTGTGGTTCAGAACAAAGGCTTTGTTCATCTGAAGAATGACTGAACATAACTTAGTGTAATTGCAATTTAGAGGTCATGCTTCTCAGTATAAAGTAACACTGATAAAAAAAATATTACAAATCCTCTCCATCCCGCACTTCTAAGCAGGTTATTCAGTGTTTTATGAAAATACTGGCTGCAAACACCTCCACATCCTTGTCAAGGCAAATACCATGCAGTACACTGAATGGCAATTTTATTAGCTCATGACAATTATAGTAGTCTAAAGACAGTTGTAACATGTTGCATCTTACAGTTTCTTTAAGTCTTTAAGACACATATATAATCGAGAGCTTTGGAGAAAATATATTCTGTGCAAGGGAAAAACAAAACACACGGTGTGAAAGACAAGTACAAAGGGCAAAATCTGTAAGCTCCATTGGATGTGAACTGTTAGACTGACACATGCCGATGGTGTTGGTACTTTATCACCATGAAAACAAAGAACAGCCAAGGATTCACACTCTGCAAGCTAGCTGAGTACCTGTTTCAGTTGTGTCTCAGAGTTTACGTGCACATCACATATTTCACAGTGAAATGTTTTGTTCTGAAGGCCTGTGTTTCCTTTATTCACAGGTCCTTTTCCTTTTACGCCTGCCCGGGGAAAGGCTTTTATGGTTCCACTTCCATTCCGAGCTTCCAGCATAGTTTTGTGCTTAGTCCCTGGAGACATTAGAAATGGGAAACAGAAACAACTTTGGCAATTTGGTTGCATTCATTGTTTTGTTTTCTTTTGAGAAGAAAATCATATGAACCTCAGCTTGGTGCCACGTGCTATCCTTGGAATATGCCTGTGTTTGTCTGTATCAGATTCATACCAACGTAACAGTATTTCACATCTGATATTTAATTATTAAATTGCATATCTGCAGGTAATGCACTAGAACAAAGCAGCCACACCAGTAAGTAGTGGCACAATCAGGTATCCTGATGTGAAGTTAAATGGGTGTGACTTTTCTCATTAACTCCTGCTGCTAATAAGACCGGAATTGTAGTTGCAAAGGAAGAGCAATTTAGCTATTAAAGATGTAGTTGGCTTTGATTTGTAGTCCTCCTGAATGGATTGATAAACAGTATGTATTAGGTAGCTTACACTTCAATCTGTAATTAACTAATTAGTCTCCCAATCAAAAAGGGGCAGAGGTTCCTGGCAGCAACCTATGGATCCTTAATGGCCTGGACAGAAACCAAAATGCGTCAGAAACATACATGTGAGAAAAATGCACTTGCATTTTTTATTGAAATAAAGATTGGATAGAAAACAATAGCGTCCTGTTTCTTTACCTTTATTCAGACCAAACAATTTCTTACACAGTTGACTTCCACACAGGTAGTCTGTGATGACAACGGACTACTACTGTGCACAGAACTGGTGTTCCACTGATAATCGTTTTATGCATCCACATATACGCTTTTACAAGTACGCATGTGTGTGAGGCACACACACCAGTTTATCAGCACGGACAGCAAAAACTTGGAGAGTTGTGCTTAAATATTCAGAATAATGTTTTGGCTCTCATCTTGATCAGAAAGTATTTAGGGTCTAACCCTCATACGAAGTTAGATAGGTTAAATGGGTACAGCTATATGAAGTAGAATTTTAACCAATTGAAGATCTGTCATACAGCAAACACAGTATTCACTGATTAGGCTTTGTTTCTCATGAATACCAACAAGTTATCATTTCCTTTTTAATTTAAGTGGATTTAAGACATGCCAAAGTTATTTCTTTTTTTATTACATCATAAAACCATTGATCATCTTAATACCATCACTGTCTCTATGTTTCAAACCTAAGGTTCTCTGCCTGTCTCCTAACTCTGTTTACCCTGCTGGCAGGTAACCTCTGACATCCAAAATTAGGAGGTTTTCTGTAGGACTGTTATGGGTGGTCATTGCCACCACATGAAATCCCAAGATCTTTTAACCCTGCTCACCACAAAGCCAATCAATAAGATGCTTAAAATAGTGACTGTGAATGATGGCACTCTACTACTGGAACTTATCGATGCTACTAGCTCTAATAACAAGAAAAGGCTTAAAAATTAAGAAAGATGGAGGTAAGCAACTACGCATTCAACTCACATGCAGCAGTTGCTATCAGTTGATGAAAACAAAGGAAAAATATACATAATTTTAACAAGTTATTAACAAACAATATGGAGCTAAGAATTCTAACTCTCATCATTGCACTTTGACTGACTGACGCTCCCTCTTTCAGCCTTAATTTGTTAGATTTCAAACAAAACTAATGGCATTCATACTCAGTTTGCTAGCTGGCACAAACAAAAGTATGCAAACTCTGAACACCAAAGGTAATGAAGCATGAGCTGTCATTTAGCTCTATAAGGTTTGGAAGCTGCAAAAGCTAAAATGTAAGAAAATGGGTAACTTGCACGCAATAAAATTCCTTTCCTCCCCCGTTTATGAAAGCCTCTTTGCTTGTCATTTTTATTCTTTAATAGTTAATGAATTCCATGTAATTGCCAGTTTTCTGCCACCTCTTTGTCCCCTGCTGCAAGAGATCTAATCTATTCAGGGGAAGATAATTGCAGAGCTCTTGAGACAGAAGGAAAAAAAAAGGAAGAAAGCAAGCACTGCTCCATCTCACCACTGTTGTGCGCCTCCAGCTGCGAGGCAGAGTTGACAGCGACTTTGCATAGTGAACAGTACAGCAGTCTTTTTGCTTTTTCTTCCTCAGTCTCAGCGGAAGGGCATGTGGTGCTGCTAGTGGCCGTCGTGGGGATTTTCTCCACTTTAGAGGTGATCTCAGTTGTCATAACACTGCTCTTCCGGATTTCCACGGTTGTCGTCGTTGATATTGCTGGTGTCCCTGCGGTAACGTCTGTGGGCAAAGAGAGGAGATGGAAAGAAACAAAAACAAAAAAAAAAAAAGTTGTGACCTTTGGCATTTGCTTCTTTGCATCCTAATGCTGTAACTGCACAGAGAGCCAGATCGTGCTGGTGATGGTTTGACTAATGGTAATGAACTAAATCTGACCTTATTCTTTGTATTTTGTGTGGTTACAAAACACAGTACTCCCATGTATCGAAATGCCACGCATTCTGTCTCCTGCATTCTGCTAACACCCAGTAAATACAGAATTCATAAACTGAAAAGACAGGTCATTAAAACTGTACTGTACAACTGAAAACTGTACTGTACAAGAGTTGTACAGTACAGTTTTACAGGACCACTAAAAGAGGTTCTGTAAATTACCAGTGCAATAGGCAGTTAAAATTTATACACAGCACTTCAGATGCATTAACTGCCATAGTACCGTATAGTATTTATGCTGATTGAGTACTCAAGCTAAAGTTTTAACATTTTGTACTAATACAATTAAAATTAAAATAATTGTCTGTTCTTGAGATCTGATTAAAAAAAACCCAACATTACATTGATTCTTCACTTGATATTAGCCAAAACTAATATTAAATGAATGAAGGTAATTATTAACACACAGTATACATTTATCCATAGATTATTATTATCAATTATTACATAATAACAATGCATACTAATAACAGTAATTAAATCTAGAGCATTCTATATCTGAGACCTACACAAACAATAATATTTCCTTTCAGCGTATCAGTGGTATGTTTGGAAGAATCATAAGCACGTTATATTCCTAAATCTATTCAGAAACCTAGTGCTTGCAGCTAAGAACTCGCGCTTTTTCTGTAGTTTTCAAATCCAAGAGAGAGAAAATACACAACGATATTGTGGTTTGAATAATATATACATGACATTTGGATACGGCAGTATCATTTGGTAGTTAAGTACTCAGCAGCGTAGTGGACAGTAAGATCCAGCACTGAGCCAGGGGAGAAGATGGCAAGTAAGGGAGAAGGGCAGAAGGGACAGGAGCTGTTCTGCCTTTGGAGTGTTCTATTTTCTCATATTAAGCTTCCCCCCTAAGAAATCTTAGTTACTTTACTGGAATTGGGTACTTTCCAACACAGACAGCTCTTTTTTGTTTCATAGATCCCTTGGTGTTAGTAGTGCTCTACCTGTACTTTATTCTTTGCCATCTATTAGAATAGGCAAAATAAAAATTCTTTTGCTTATAGATCTCAGTATGCGCTGTGATGCAGGAGGGACACGACGAACTGACGCCACAGAGGTGTGTTTCAGACTGATACCATATTAATGAAGAACATGCCTAATGACTTAGCAGACAACAGCAAACTGGAGCAAGCGCAAACACACTGAGAACTATGATTCAAAACAGTTTTAACGCATTGGAGAAACAGTCTAGAAAACTAGATGCTTTTCAGTAAAGACAATTGCAGAATTCCACACTCAGTAGGATTAATATGATCTATTAAAAAACAGGATGAAGAACAGCCCCAGAACTGCTTTTTGGGGAGTGTCTTTGTTTGATTTTGGGTTGGTTGGTTTGTTTGTTTGCTTGTTTGTTTTTCAGAAAAAGCTTTCAGTAGCAGATAACAAGATGAACACGGATCTCTTGCATGATCATGTTATGAAACAGGTCCCCACCACATTGAAAGTGCAAAGTGAAAGATTTGTGAAGTGGTTTTTTTCTCCTCTAATCAGCACTGGAGGTCCTGTGTCCAGCACGGGGACTGCAACGTCAAAAATTAACAATTACTTGCTTTGTTGTTAATCCAGCAGCAATACAAATGCAAACCAACAAGAGAGGTTTTGTGAGGGAGCCAAAATAAATTAGAGGTTTAGAAAACATGGACTGTGAATACAGAAGATGAAGGGTAAACACTGACAACATTTTTCATCTCTGTAGAAGGTAGCTAAAAATAAGAGAATAAACTCTTCCCCCTGATCCCTCCTAATAGGACAAGGACTATTGGATTACATCAAGAGAGCCTTAGATTAGACATCAGGAAATTCTTTCTAATATTAAAGCTTGTAAAGCCTGAGAATAGCCTACCTACAGAGATACGGAAATATTGCCTACTGGAGGACTTGGAACTGGCTGAACAAATTTCTGCAGGAGCAACCCAGGTATGATCCCCTTTCAGTCAGTGGGAATAGGACCCTTCAAGCTCTGTCAATTTTTATACATTGTGTATTTTGTAATGTTTCTACATATTTCCCCAGAGGGTTTTTAAAAAATGTTATTCATAAAACCAAGAAAGCAGAGTTTGTCATGTGAATATTGTACATATTGCCAGGCATTAAATCATATAGAAAAAAATAAGGTGCCACTCCAGGTCTAATCAAAGTTGTTTTTCTTTCCTGAGAGTGAATCTGGGGGTGGTTATATCCTGAAGGTACTGGGGATGTGAAATACTGGTACAGAAGGAGTGGTGTTACCTTGCTTGAAATTCTGTTCTTATTTATTATTTTTTACAGACCAACAATACTGTTTCAAAAGAAAAATACTATTTTGAAATATTAAACCTTTTTGGGGGAAACTGATGAGTAAACGAAGCCTTTGTAGATCTGTCCACAAAATTATACATTTAACTAGTCACTCCTTTCCCATCCCAGAGAATCTGTGTCAATGTTGGCTTTCCTTCAGTTGAAAATTGCTGCAGTGAAATTATTTTCTTCAAAAGCCCACTCCCAGAAATACATAACACTGCTTTTAAAACTTCAGTTTCTCCATCCTGGGGCTACTGTACAGTAGTATGTCTAGCCAATGTACTTTTCTGGTGAAAAGGTAGGCAGAGGGCAGATGGCACCAGGGAGAGGGAAGGAGAAGAGAAAGAAAACGTTAACATTCTCTAAGGATTGATGGCAAGGGTGGTGCTCATTCTAATCTTGGAGGAAATTAGATATGTACATCAATCACCGTTACCAACTTTGCAGTGGAAGGGTCAGGATTTTGCCTTAAGCAAAATATAGATCATCATTTCTTTATTTTCCATAGGAAACACTGAGGCAATGAATAATAAAAAAAGCTTAAATAACTTCAGATTTTATCCTGCCTCAAATATCTGACCTCCTATACCTATGTTATTCTAATATTTCACTAAGTAATTATTTTAAAGTGAAAAGGAAATACAATCGATTATGCGATTATGCTAGTCCTTTTGAGGGTATTTTGATATGCATGTGTGAAAGCAGCATTGTATATAAAAATTAAACTAAAATTGGTAAATGTCATCAGCATATTCTTCAACTAACAAAAATACCAAAGTTCAGAGCATATATTCTGCTCACATACCCTTCAAAAGGTGCCCTATATTCGTACATTACATATTCCACTAATGCAAATTCATTCGTGACATCCAAACATATACAAGAAAACCATCCAAGTTCACCATCTAAAAGCCATAACACATTTAAAGATGCAAAGCTGCCCCTCTTCGTATAACCTTTAGAATTATCTGCAGGAATTAAGGGGAAAACATTCTAAAAGCTGTCAAGTAAGCTTATAAAGAGGGAATTCAAATCCTCTTCTCACCAGAACTTCTAACCTAACCAGCATGTGCCTCTGCATATATTACAGTGTTGCTGTCTGTACACAGTTCAGTGCCCTAAATACAGCGTACAGCATTAAAGGTACAAGAGATTAAAAAAAAACACCAACCCTCCCCCAAAAAACCCCACCACCAGAAAGGAGTAGGAGGGCATTTGAATTGATGCCTTCAGGATTGAATCAGTGTTTCTTAACATTATATTATGACAGTGCTTTAAGAACTATTTCAATAATAAACGATCTAAAATCGAGCTGGAAATTCAGTCACAGTCAAATGGAAGATTTGTTTCTGGTGACGCAGGCTTGCAGCACTGTGCTATTTTCATACCAGTGGCCTGCAGCAAATATTCATTATTGCAACTGTCACTGGTTGGCTTTGGCATAGAAGCTGATTGCTAATATTGTGTGGAACTGGACTCCAGCAGCAAAAAAAGAGAACAGTTCAGGATTCACAATAATCCATTTGTGTTCCTGATCTTAATATAGCAACAGAATAAAACGTAAAAATACAAAAAAATTACATTAAAAACTAATCTTGCTCACTGGCAAAATCAAAGATTTATTCTAACAAGAAGATAAAGCCAGATGAAAAACATTCCATGGGAATGGACTCCTTCGGGTACTACAGATACCATAGTTCAAGTGGAAAACTGCAAGTGTGTGATTAAGGTCCTCCTAAGTAAGCAGGATTAATTTTATATCCCAGCTACAAGACTCATGAATTTTCTTTAGACTGAAGAAACAGAAAATTACAACTCATGTTTTTCTTCTGAGTCTGTGAAAGTCTCACTCATCAGTTTCTGCTACTAAGCATACGAATTTCTTATCCTGAAACTATAAATAGAGCCACAGAGAGAAAAGTGCTCTGACTTCAAACAAATTCAACTATTTATGAGCATGTTTTTCCTTCCGCTATCTCAAGTGGCATGCATTTAAAAATATCTGATTTAGCACATACCCATGCATTCTGCTCTCATTTAAATCACACTTTGCCTTTGACATAAAAGGATTGAGCATTTGGCCCATAATGCTGTCCAGGAAAAACAAAAAAACCCAAACCAACCCCTTGCAGAAACTAGAAAGCACAGTTTTTCTTATGACAAACAGAACTGGATATGAAATATTTCACTATACTATAAGACTTCTTAGTAGTGCAAAAATGTTGTCAGCTGACTCGCTTATAGCAAACCTTCATCATGGCATGTGATTTTCCTGCCTACTAAGAACTCGGCCCTCGGTTTCCTTGGGCTGCTTTGAAAATCGCATGTTCTGCATCCTCTGTGGTAATTACATTCGAAGATAAGATGTAATTTCTTTTGAATCTATAAATATAACAGTGGAGTATATTAAAAACAAAGTACCAACTCAAAAATAACTGTACAGCTGACTTTTTTCATGCTTGGCTGACTTTCTGAACTCGTGTGCTAAAACA